TGGGAAATAAATGATCTTTGTAAGTGAAACACTAGGGCCTGAGCAGTGAGGCCCTGAACCACAGCTGACCTCTAGATGAACCTCCCAACCTCACAATATATCTAATATGTATAATATTGATCACATATCCAATGTATTATTACTATACACCAGTAGTTTGTAAAAGTTTTGTTGTAACGCTCATAGAGCTTTGCTGTAACGCTTCCTGTGTAAGGTTCGTCAGCAGAAAGATACTAATTGCGTAACAGTAGCCAAAATTCAGCACGGATGTGCCCTGTCGCCACCGATGGCAAAGGAATGTGGCAAGTTGTGGCAAGCTTTGTTGAGAGATACATAATCCAGATTAGTAGATTCTTTGGATGCTGGCAGGGCATAGTATGCTTTACGTGCTGGCAGGCTCTGCCACGGAGCTCTGGCTTGTCTGCTTTGGAGGTTTCGTGTGTCCCAGGGAGCTTGCCTTGTTCGTTAGCATTAATACCTTTAGTAGAGTGTAAGTGATGATGCATTAATTCCAACAGGCATATGGCTGGCAAAACATTGTGTAGGTATTCACAGTGAAACCATAATTCGGGTTCTCTTTTGGCAACAATTTAAATCCAAATCTTCTTTGCTTAGCCAGAGGCAGGGGAGAAATCATACCTCTTGGAACTATCATTTTCAGACTGGGGAGTGGCTTGCATTTGAGGAGTTATTTCACAGCCATCGATTGAGAGAGATTTCCTTCTTGAGGTAAAGAATCTAAACAATCAGAGTTGGAGCTAAGCTTTGTTCAGGTGGTGAATTCTTAACTCTGGTGGCACCGAGTTCTCATTGGATTTAGGGCCTACTCAAAGGCTCTTTAAACTGGTGAATTTTGAAGGAGGTTTATGGTGTGAATTTAGCCATTGTTCAGGGAGTAGTGCAAGACTGAAAGTTATTTAAGGGAGCCTTCTTTGAAAGACACAAATAGAATTTTAGTAGAACATAGTCCTATGTATTGACATCAGATCTCATTATAGAGTCTGCAGATGGAGTCAGAGCGTGTTCAGTGTTTTTAGAGGCACAGCAGAACAGTATATTTAAAAGTGTGTCTAGAATTATTAAAAGAATGTAAACCATTTAGTCTCCTCAATCCCAGGGGTTTTTTTAAAAGAAGTTCTGACTGTTAGGGCATGTTGAAACAGCTTAAATTCCTCTTATATTCCCATACCTCAGAGCTTCCCATTGGCTGTCTCTACACTTTGAAAAGCACCTATTCCATAGGAAGCCCTAGGGCCAAAAGCTTGTAAGTATAGTCTTTAGAGCCCAAGGGGTTTAAATACAAAAGTTAACCTTAGCTCAGGAAGGCCAGGCTGCCTGTCAGTGGCAAGGGGAGGATCCTGTTCCTTCTTCCTGAGTTGCTCCTTTTAGGGAGCTAAAACTAACTTTTTTGAGTTAATCCTTTCCTTCTTACTCCGCTGGTCTTAGGGAACATTGGAAATAACGAAATGCCAAGTGACGATTTATTAAATGTTAAGTTCTGAAGATGCCTGGGTGCTTTCACAAATTTTATCTCAAGACATTCAAGGACATAAATTTTACCCCTGCAACCTATATGTCATAGTAATAGAAATATAATTTCTATTATGACTTTTCTTTATTTTATGTTAGCAGATGGACCATATCTTCAAATCATAGAACAGCCAAAACAGGTAAGAACCCTACTACATTTTGAAAATCTTTAAGGTAGCTATGTCATTATATTCAGCTTTTAATAAAATTGTGACTGAAGGTGAGGAAAAAAAAAAAAAAAAGAGAGTATTGAAGAGGTTGAAATCTTACAACAAATGTGACACTTAACCATGAACAGTTTTTCCTCTCACTTTTGTAGTTAAAGTGTTTCCTGTTTTGTTCTGTTCTCATCTTTGTGTCTCTCTGGAAGTGTCATAAGACCCCCCCCCAAAAAAAATCATGCTAAGTGTCGACTCTTCATCTTAGAAGTGAATCTTGCAATAACCCAGTATTTGAAATGTAAATTATTAGACCAAACATTGAAGATTTTTAGAATTTGTTTCATGTTTCTTGAAACATATGAAAGAAAAAAACATTTCATTCTGTTCCCAAGTTACAGGAACTTTTGATTTGTGTTTTGTCATCATAAAGAAATTCTGTTGTCCTTTGAGATTCTCTTTGTCACAGTTAGCTGTTTTGAGTAGCCCAAGAAAAATGAAGATAAATGCTTGAATGTAACTTTTTTTTGTGACTCTGTAGCAAACACTCATTTATGCTCCTTTGTCAGTATGAAAGTCATCCCAATGCCCTGGTTAGTTTTCATGCAACTCATGTACAAAGCAATTCCAGGGGGAAGATCACTCTGAAGTATGTCAGGGTCTTGTTCCCCTTTAGCTGGTGGCATCAGCCATTTACAGGTATTCCTCCTGAAGCTGTTACAATATGGAGGCCCCTTTCCTGTCTCTCCCAATCCGTTGCATAAAATCCTACCTTATGGAGTGTTTAGATAGGGGAGGAGGGTGACTAAAAGCTGTCCCATCCTCTGCTTGGTCTTCTGCAGAAACATGCCTCAATCCAGTCTTCCTGGTAGGAGGTGGTAGAGAGCATTTGTTTCATCCAAACGCCAAAGACATTTCTGTGCTTGAGCATCCATCCAGGAATAGGGACACTTCATGGCCACAGGTGAAACAGCAGTGTACTGTGGACTCTTGGAAGAATACACTGCCTCTTCCTTGTTGTTTTAGTTCATCCCAAATCAGCCTGTGCTTTGCATGGTGCAGCCTACAGTGTGCAGTTCCTAAGGAGAAACCATTGTTTCCATGCATGGCTTCTCAGCAAGCAGCTCCTATAGTGGAGCACCCATGTCGCAAGCTGGGCGACGGTTTATAACAGGGTGATCCATCAGCAGAGTGCTGTGCTTGTGATCACTTTTGGATCAGAGACAGCTGGGGGGAGTAAGGCTGTGTGTGTGAAAGCATAGCTAGGATAGCAAGGCCCATAGGCTGGGGAGGCACACAGATGACTGCTGGATCTGTTGGAGCAAAGGCAGAGAGGAGGAGGCTGGGGTGTCTCATGTGTCACGACTGTAGAGGTTGCTTTGCCTTTTGGTCAACTTGAGGTCGAGCTCATCATAGCTGGGCACTTCATTTGCAATATACTCAGTTACTCAGTTCACTGTAGGAAGGCAAATATGTGCTTAAGGATGAATTATGTTGTCTCATCAGTATCTTTACATTTGCCTGGGAAACAAGTTCTTAAACTGAAGAGGCTTTAGTGAGATAGGTGTTGAAGCTAATGATTACAGAGTACTTTTTGAACTGTTGTTCACTGTCAGCTAATTCAGACTTTGAATTCAAAGTTGTCTACTATTCGAAAGAAGCTGAATGATTCTTGACAAAGATACAACACTACCTGGTGCTGTTTGGACAGACAGTGGGAGCTCTATGTAAGACAGCAATTTTGCCAAAAATTGCAGAACTGGGGAGTAGATGTGAAAGCATGCAAAGTTTGGGGGCCACATGAAATAATATAGTTAAGTAGAGTTAGAGTTACTGAACTCATTGACTTAAGAGTTGCATCTTTTGTGCTTATAGATGACCCTGTAAAGGGGATGTTATTTCCTATAAATAAAAACAGAATAAATGGGCAGCTGACTCTAAAGTGGTTACTAATATCCTGCAGTTCCCTGATAGTTATGTAGCTGAGATGAAAACCCAGCTATTCAAAGTCTCCTGAAGCTTTTGTGCTGTTTGTGGACGTGGCTTGGAGGTACAGCTTTCACCTGCTCTTCCCAGAAGGAAGAAGCATTTCTATTTCATCCCTCTTCTTTTCTTCATGATGTTTTGGGCTTCCTTGATTATTGTTGGCTTCAATTCTCTCTACCTAGGAGCAGTCATAGGTGAGAGTATCTGCTCTTGCATTCTCTCTCTTTTTTTTTTTTTTTTTTTTAATCTGGTTTTGAGAGTATAAATATATCTCTACTTCAAAAAGTTTTCACTTACTGGAAGAAAAAATTGGGGTTGCTGCTGTGTGTAAGAGTGAGAATAGAACAGTTTCTCCAGGGTTACAGTTCGGTGGTGCTTTGTTAACCAGCACTCAGACAGCACGTCAGGGATGAACAGTTGTAACTTTTCTGTTTGTGTGCTCTTTGAGTAAGTCTTGTGTCTGTGCGCACGCTATTTTTTGTTGTTGTTTTGTTTCTAAACAGCTTTCAAGTTTCTTTTCCTTTATTTCCACAGAGGGGGTTTCGTTTCCGATACGTATGCGAAGGGCCTTCACATGGTGGACTTCCTGGTGCTTCTAGTGAAAAGAACAAAAAATCATACCCTCAGGTCAAAGTAAGTCCATAAATCATTAATTTTGCAAACTGAAAGCAAGTTTCATATGCGTGTGTATAGGACCTTACTGCATATCAACATAAATTTGTATGAAATTACTGAAGACTGACTGCATTTCAATCCCAATTTTCAAAATGTAATTGATTTTGAAAAGGAAGTTGTCTTCAGATTTGCGGAGTTACTTTGGCACCGGATTAATTTGCCAGCAGTTGAGCAGTAAGCTTTCCTGCCCCTACCACCTCACTGCCCTTGTGCAGAGTAATAGGACAGTTCCTTAAGGTGCAGTTTCAGCATAAAGCAAGGCCTGAGCTGCTCAATTACTCTGCTTCCAGCTTACTGCAAAGCATGAGTCTGGTCCATTCACTCTAAGATGCTATTTACCGATTTTTCCTTCTTTTTCTGTTCATGTTACTCCTTATTCAATATCTCTAGGATACTTACTTCTTTAGGACTTTAAAGGAATTAAGTCAACAGAAAACTTCTCATTTTAATAGGAGCAGCATTATGTTCAGGTGTTGGCTGAACATTTTTGGGGGCTTTTTTTCCCTGGAAAAAATTCAAGGATGTTAATCAAAGAAACATTCTGTGCTCGCACAATATGAAGATCATAATCATTCTAGGATCAGAGAAGAGCTGTCTTTGTCTATGGTTTTTGCAGCAAATTCTTCTTCCGTGGAAGTGGGGAAAAGATAAACTGTCTCTTCAGTATTTTTTTAACTTAATGACAGTCTTCGTCTTGGTATTACATTATCTCTTTGAACTATTGCTCTAATGGGGAGCAGGATTAATGTATTTTGATTCTGGTGTTCTCTCTTACTCTATATGGGGAGAGAAAGGTAGGGAAGAGTGGCAAGCAGTCAGCCTTTTGGTGTGTGTGACTCCTCAGATTTCCCTGCAGCACACGTGTAGTTCTTCTGCAGTTCTTGAGAAGGGCTGGAGTTTGGAACAGTTGCATCTCCATAATAAGTCAGTATGAGCATGACTCAATGGAAAATAATAGGCATTGGCTGAGGTAGCCTAGGGTGTTAGTCTAGCGAACTGAGAAGAGGCTGGGAAAGCTGATTTGATGTGGCCTTACAAAATTCCTATGAAGAATTACCAGCCCAGGCAAAGGATCTACTTGCTTTTCCCCCTCCTGTTGTGATTATAATGATGAATCAATGAGTGAAATTTCACTGGTATGTTCAGATATAAAATAATTTGCTTTGATTGTGCCAGATTTTTGGATTCCAATCCAATCTGTATTGACAATAATACAAATGATACTTTATAAAGGTCTGATGGGTTGCACAATAGCATGACAAGGAGATACGCAATGAGGAGTTATCCAGGAAATTTAATTTCTCTGTGAGTAAACTAGAAAGCGAAATGTTCTTTGGCTTTCCATCAAACCTTCTGTTTTCATTGATAATCAGATTTTAATTTCATCTAAAGCTTCCATGTATACACGTGTGTCTCTCCCCTCCCTCCCTCTTGTCCTACTGTGTGCATCTGGGTTTTTTCCTAATACAAATCCCCACATGGCAACACCTGCCGGGAGAGGGCTGGCAAGGGAACACAACAAGTACATTCCTCAGGGCCATTGCTTGTTAGTGCCTGTTCTTGATTCAAGTGGTGCCAGTAAAGACAGAAGTGTTTCACACCTTTTCCTGTAAGTCTCTATTGTGTTTTGTCAAAGGGTGCTCACCTTGTCATAACTGAGGTGAGCACAATTGAAGATTACTGTTGGGTTGTTTTGGGGTGGTTTTTTGTTTGGGGTTTTTTGTTTGGTTGTTGGGTTTTTTTTCAATTCTTCTGCCAAGGCTTTCACCAGAAAACCTCCATTAGTTGATCCCAGTGCTGTGAAAGGACACTACCGTGAGCTTTGGCTTTACTGTAAAAAGGAGATTTTGTGACAGATCTTTAAACCTTGTCCATGGTGTGGTCAGTGCAGCTCACATTGGGATGTCTCTTCTGCTTGGCCAAGTCTGCACAGAAAGCTGATGTGATTTACCAGTAGCTACCATGGGATGTCCTGAAAATAGGCATCTTCAGTGCACAAAAAAAGCATTGCAGTTTCCCTGCTCTCTTTTTGTAAGATTGTAGATTGAAGGCCAAAAGAAGACACATTTGTCTGATATGACCTCTTGCTGTTCAACTTCACCCTGTTATTTTTCCTGCACCCAGTCTCTAACTTGTAACTGAGCTGGAACATGTCAAGATGCATCTTTCATTTAAAGGCTGGAGTGCTGAGGACTTTGCTATGTCTCTGTCAGGATGTTTTGGTAGTTAATCATATTTACCCACCTCCTGTATGGTATATTAGGTGGTGGCGTGGGTCAGAACTTAGCATAGCAGTTCTGTGATGCCAGTCTTTACACTTAAGACAAATCTGCCCTGGCCAGCAAGGTGGAATTGATTTAAAACCTCTTGCTTAAACAGCACACTCATGACAAATGGCGCTGAGATAACAGCAGTGTTTTTCTATAATATTAAAAATGGGATTAATTAATCTTTATGGTTTATGGAATTATATTCCTTTGTTTAACCCTGTCTTTGCTAACAGTAGTCCTAATGTCATCTACAAAACATCTTACTTTTCAGAGGATTTTGTATAACTTTGCATGTAGTTATGGAGAGCAGAGAAGTTGTAGATAATGATTATGATGAAGTTAGCATTTCTTAAAAAGTTCCATGATTATAGTAGGAAGCTACCTAAAGTTCTTCATTTCAATTTAAGTTTCGTCTGCTTAGTGTAAATAGCACAACACTGGAAAATTTTACTATCTAGAACAGTTGAAAACAAAGCTCCTGAGCAACTTATTCATCGTTAGCTTTTTGTCCAGGGGGGGAAAAAAAAATCAATAGTATAAGAAGAAAGAATAAAACTGAATTGTCTAATATTATCAACAGCTTATTTAACTATCTAAATTTTTTTATTCATAATTTGCTTGGTTTTATGTATTTGAAAAACTGTAAGAACTTGCACGGAAAATTTCTGCTGGCCTTCTTACATGTTTACTGTGTGTGTCCTGATCTTGCATACTAACGTTAGTGTAGGCATATTCATGTTTTATTCACTTAAGTACTTGATCCAGTTTTGGGTGTGAAAAGAATTTGCTGAAAATAATGGTGTGAAGGAAGTGTCCTGAATTTTCAGCTCCTTGGGGGCAAATCTACGTGGGTGGCTGCAAACTCAAGTTGCCTATCTGCTCTGAGCTCGAGGTAAAGCAGCTCCAGCCCAGAGCCTGAGTATCCGATCGTGCAGAGATGTGCCTGAGCTAGCGAGCACCATCTCTCTGCTGATGAGTTTGGACATTATGCAGTTCAGCTTGCGGATCGAAGGTGCATACCAGTTACTCAGCCCTGAACCCAGGCACCCAAACAGGAGAACTGCCCATCCAGTCACGTCCTGGGGCTATCCTAAATGATGCCTCAATTTGGAGATAAGAGTTCTTATTGGAATTGGGGATTTCACCACATACTTGATGTTCAGGAGGGGAATTTATGGAAAATCAGTCAAGTTACTTTGTTGATGAGCCTCCTTGGTGAAGAAAGGAGTGGCATATTTGCTTTTTTCCACCCATAGGAATTAAATTGTAGAGTGATAAATCGCTAATTACAACTTAAAAAATAATTTAACAGCTGAGTTAAGGAATGAACAGGAGACAAGAATAAGCAGACTTTTTGTTTTAAGGCTTTACCCCTCTTAAAAACCTGTACTGAACCAAATTCAGACAAAGCTAAATTTGGTGAGATTTGTGCTTTTTCCTGTTATGGTAATTTGGCTGAATGTGGGGCACCGAGTCCCTTTAGTTGGGCTCCTGAAGCAGAGCACCTGCCTCTGTATTTTTGGCATGAGAGTGACCTCATATTCAGAGGATCAGAAGATCTTTGGCTCCCATTGGTTTAAATTACTTTACATTGCTTCTTCTTAAGACCTCTAAGAAAGAATTCAGTTGCCTAAATGATTTGTACCACATATGAAATGTTTTGTCTTAAACTAGCAACTGGGAAAAAAAAAAGATGCTGCTCTGTGAAAACATACCATTGATAAACAATGAGTGGTGCCTCATCTGTGCCGCACTTTGTATGCAGGTATTGAGGTCAGCACTGGTCACACTCTGAAGGTTTGGCAGGTATGGGACTATAGTTGCTGTAACAAAGTGTTTAGAAAGAGAAATAGGTGGTTTTGTAGTTGCTGGCTTTATAGGTTTGACATGGTTGTTTCCATCATTTGCTTTTGGTTGTTGACCAGTTGGTTTCACTTCTTGCTTGTAAGAGTAACTGGAAAAAAAATATCTTTGAAATAGGAGAACATTCTTACAAAGTTTTTGTGAAGTTTCAGAAACTATAAAAAATTGGCTGGGGTCTGGATCACAGGAGGATGTGAAATAACTGAAAAAACTTTCAACTCTTGTTTTGAAATTGACTCAGTTTCAGGTTCACAGGGTCCTTTTAATCTCTCAGACAAATCTCTCTGAAACAGAAACAGCAGATAAATGCGAGCCTGCAGCATTTTAACTTTATCAGATTAGATCAATTGAATGCTGCTTCAGTACAGGATGTAATCAAGTATTACAGCCATACTCTTCCCAGGAACTCCTCATTTTCGTTTTTCTCCCCTATCTTTAATTTGAAGTTCAGTAGCTATTTTTTTCCGATCACAGCTCTGATTTTGAGCAGTACAGCACCCACATGCTACCCCTCTCTCAGGCTTTTATTTTTGTGTCAATACCATAATCCTTAGGTTTCTGTAGATGTTCCCTAATACACCGTCTACCTTTTAACACCTTAGACAATGTTTTTTAAGTTCTTATGTAAGAGGTAATAATTGTATGCATGTCTTAGTGGCAGAATAAATTGAGTTATTCTGAAATTGTGGTGTCAGTGATTCAAGGACACTGGAAAATTATTTCATACTTAATTTATGGTACATAAGGATGTTTAACCACTGAGGCTATTTTGCTTGGGCACCAAGATAACCTGGATGTCTCAAAATCAAGGAGGAATGTCTGTCTATAAGAAATATAGGTAGGAAACAGTTCAGGGACATTCTGTAGCCTTTGTGGCACAGGACATCGGGCTGGATGACGAAAACAGTCTTTGTGTTCTTGCCTTATGACCTACATAAGTTATTACGTTTTCAGAACTCTTTTGTTTTTTCCCCTGAGAGAGACTACAAAGATCATGCTGAGCTGAGTAACAGGGGGAGATTGTAATCTGGTTACCGCTGCAGTTCTATGTTCTGCTTTCAGGGGCTGGAAAGTCCTTGACATGCAGCAGTCCTACCTACAGTTTCACTGTGGTTTCTACAGCTGATGAAGGATTGTCTTGAACTTTTCTGATGTGATACTAGAACATGGGGGTTACTCATAATGAACAGAACGTTATAGATATGCTGGGAACCTCGTACCAGGGAAAGGCTTGTTTAGTAAGGGATAAAATGAAATAATTTTTAAAAAGCTTCCCTCTTGAAAAGGTAATTGTAGTCATGGTGGTGACATGTAGCACCAAACACCATCTTTTTTTTTTTTTTTTTTTTTTTTTTCCAGAATACTTTGAGAAAGTTACATAGGGATCCCTGCATTTTCTCACTGCTGGTAAATGGTGGAAATAGTGAAGCAATGATTATTCTGCATCTCTGTATTGTTTCAATCCAGGAGGGATTACAATTTGGAAACAGGAGGAAGCATGAGTACCCCATGTTTTGTATTTTAGAAACTGCCGCTTGTAAAATGCACATTAATACAGTATTATGCAGTTAACTGGCAGGCAGTGAGCAATGAGAGGACTTTTGCACACCTGTTCTTACTGGAACAACTTTTTAATCGTTCCGATTTTGGGGTTTTTTTTTTTTTTGCTTTTAGCAGTGCATATGAAGAGAGGGAGGGCACACGTACGTATGAGTGTTTCGGCTGTAATGGAATGGGTTCAAGAAAAGGATTAACTGGAGTGAAGGAAGCTAGCAGGACTTAGTAATGTGGTGAAATTGTGGCAATCCCTGGTTATCAGCATTTTATCAACAATATAACCTTAAGTATTTAGTTCATCACTGATTCATCACGTTGTTTATCGTGATCCTTTAATACCTTGGTTGATTACATCTATAAGCTGCTGTAATACAAAGAACTTTGCCCAAGGCAAATTAGAAGAAAAATTGGAGGAGGAGGGAAAAAACCCAACATTGATAAAAGGGTTAATTAAGTGAATTGGAAGAGAAGGTAATGTTTGCTTTTTGAAAAGTGGGGTAATTTTATATTCAGCGTAATTTGAAAGTGGTGCATAACTGAAAACTGACTTGAAGAGTATTACTTGTGAGGAAGGAAAATAAAGTTTTAAATAATATATGTAAAGTGAAGAAGTTACCAACACAGTAAGTTATTAGTAATTTTAGGTTTGTTTTGAGGCATTACTTGACATCACTAATTTAAAAGCTATTAAAAAAAAATGTATGGGATTTAGAAACGATAACAGGAAAAAAGGTTTCGTAGTCTTTCAGAGTTGGCTATACTAAGGCATCCCGTTTATCACAGTTCCAGTTCTGCAAAATCTTAGGTGGGGATTTAGCATATATCCTCATGTACGCTTCAGGGAAAGATTTACTGGACTGGGTGATATGTGTTGATGTAGTATACTGAACTGAGAAAATACTTATGAATATAGAATTAATTCACTTTAAAATCTCTACCTGAAGAATCATTGTAATGAGGCCAAAAATGTTTTAAAACAATCATAATATTTAAAAATAATTTTTAAAGTGTTTCAAATAGGGCAAAATAATGCAGGGGTTTTTGTTAAATTCGTACATTTTCTGTGTGCTTCTTAACATGTAACAATGTTTATTCTGAATTAAATGTACTAATTGAAATTTAAGGAGAGCAACGTGGAGTAACTGGCCAGAATGTAAAAGTGAGATTCATGATTTGGGAAACTGAAGATTACTTATCTTCAGCTTTGTTTTATTTCTTAACTTCTGTGGTCGCTAATCCTGCCATTTGCATGTCAGGTTTAGTTACAAAAAAAAAAAGTGTTGGCTTTTCTTTGTGATGATCTGATACAGTTAGTTTGCCATTTATATTTTGTGAGGAAATGCATACACATTTATCATATGTAAGTTTGACTGTACTTAGCTGACAGAAAATACTTAACTGGAATCATTACTTGTTCCATTAAAAAAAACAAACCCAAAACCACCAAAAACCAAGCAAACACCCCACCTCACATCTTTTTATATTTATTTACAGATCTGCAATTATGTTGGACCTGCAAAAGTAATTGTCCAGTTAGTTACTAATGGGAAGTACGTCCACTTACATGCTCACAGCTTGGTGGGTAAATTTTGTGAAGACGGAGTATGCACGGTTAATGCAGGACCTAAAGATATGGTTGTAGGGTAAGTCTGTCGACTCATTTGTAAAACTGGGCTAAGGGAGAGAGAATCAGGTAGAAACACTGTAAGAAGCAATACAGAAATACTGCTAAGAGGCAGCTAAGCGGAGCACTGGTCTTTACGCTCTGATCTGTGTTTTGTTTGTATCTTAACTAGAAAAATAAATGGGATTTCTGTTTACCTTTGTAGAATTTGCCCTAAGCAGGCTAAACAGGTTTAAGCAAATCATTTTATCTTAGAGTTGGTAGAGTTGCACTCTCTTGGTGCACCGTCCAAATTTGTGTTGTAAGCTCATTCTTTACAATGTAAGTGGTTTTCATCAAAGAGAAGGGACTGTAAAATTACTGAAGAAAAGCTTTTGTTACCATTTTGATTGATATTTTCTTTTTACTGAAATCTGCCAATAGGAATATAGCAAAGAGAAAAGCATTAAGAAAATAGGGTTAGTAAATTTGAAATTAATGCAAGACATGTATAAACATGAAAATACTAAATGAGTCAAACTTTTAAAGTTTAAAGCAGTAAGATTATAGTGAAATTGTAGTTGGTCTGTTCTTGTTTAATTTAAAAGAATAATTGTTTATATCAGTAAATGGAGCTGAGGCTCCTGTCTGTGTTTTCAGGCTTAGATCAGGTTTCATGCTGGCTGTGAGTTTTAGTTCTGTGATCTCAAGAATGTCTTTGTTGGTGAAGAAGATGAAGTTTAAAAAGCTGAGAAGGTTGGGAGAGAGAGATTCTTTTAAACTGTAACTTTTGATGTCCAAGCCCAGTGCACTAACTTTACCAAGCACAACAATTTAAATAGCTTTATTTGAAATTCTCCTTTTCATCTTGAAAAGTTTGGCTCATTTCCTAACCTGTCTTGTTTTTCATCAGATGTTTAGAAACAGCTTTCCTATCCTCAGTTGACCCACATGAAGACTGAGTTATTGTCTTGTTTTCCTACTTCCAGATCTAATTGATTTTTAAATGTGCCAGGAGATTTTTACAAAAGCAGATCTTGTATTATGGAAGTTTTCATTCAAATAGATACCTGAAGTGTTTTGCTGAATGTCCAGAGCCTTGCTTAAAACAATTCCTTTGGAAAACGTTGTGCTGTTTTTAACTTCTTAGCATGCTCTTCAGTCATTTTGAATGGATGGAGCTTATTCTGAGCAGTTGCTCTGCATAACAGCCATGTAGAATTAAATACTAATGTCCTTGCTGAAACAGAGCAAAGAAAGTGTGACAACCAGATTTTCAAATGTTTTGTAAGGTGTTTCCACAGACTTACAAGTCTGAAACCTAACAGATCACTACTTACGCCATGGGAAAATCCCATGCGATTGCTGCCATATAATGGTACATATTTAAGCTTGGCTGAACTTTTCTTGCTGGAAAATTTGCCCTCGAGAATTAATAGCACCTAAGTAAGCCTATAGAGTCCTTCCGTTGACTTCAGTTGTGTAGCGGCCTCTGGTAAGAGAGTCTGCCTGCTGCAGGTTTGGCATAAAGCATTAAGAAAATATTTCCCTTGATTAAAATTGGACAGGTTTGCAAATCTTGGAATACTTCATGTCACAAAGAAGAAAGTGTTTGAAACTCTGGAAGCACGCATGATAGATGCTTGCAAAAAAGGATACAACCCGGGACTCCTGGTGCATCCTGAACTTGGCTACCTGCAGGCGGAAGGATGTGGAGACAGACAGCTAACTGGTATGTAGAAGCGATGGCCTGGTTTTAATAGGTCTTTTACTAAAAATAGGTTTAGCTTCTGAAAACAGATTCTTAGCCAGAAAAAGGCCTTGCGTTGGAAAACAGCCTTCAAGAGGTGATGTGTTGTTGCTGTGTTTTAGGGAATCTGAAAGAAAGAGTTTGCTGTCAACATGCCCATAAGAATGGAGCAACTTCCTTCCATAGCTGCCTGTACCCATCTCTGCACCTGTATTTCATTGCTCCTGTCCTGTTTAATAAGCTGATAGTTTCATTTTGCATTATTGCTGCAAGACATGATATCCTTAAGTAACTTGGGAACCTTCTTTTAAGAATAACTGTTTCATTCAGCTTCATTTCACATATATCCCTGTAAAACTCATGGTCTATGTTGCTTGTAGGCACTGTATAGAGAAGCCAGCCTTCTCTTTATCACCTTAATACCATGCAAATGGCCTTAGTGGTGCTCGTTGTCCTTTGCTCAGCCCTTATAAATTGACAGCAGAAAATAGTATTTTTCTATATGTCTCTTAATTATATACCTTATCTTAAATAACACCTGAGGCACAAACTGCAAGATGAATGCAGTATATTGTGTATAGCTGCTCCTCTCTGCTTCAAACATTTGCAATTAAATGAAAAGGAAAACATTTCCTCGCTGTTGGTGCCTTTTGATAGTAATGTTTGGAAAATGCTCTCTGTGTTTTGTTAGGGATCCCCTACCCCTTGTGTTAATTCATCTGTCTACTTATCGGTTCCAGAACGAGAAAGAGAAATTATTCGTCAGGCAGCAGTACAGCAGACTAAAGAAATGGATCTCAGCGTGGTGCGTCTTATGTTTACAGCCTTTCTCCCTGACAGTAATGGTAGTTTCACACGGAAACTTGATCCTGTTATATCAGATGCAATATATGACAGCAGTAAGTATATTTGGCTTTAATTATTCTTTTAATAAGGGACAAGCTTTTGTACGTACAAAACTGATACGTAGATATTGCTATAGGTAGACTCATCTAGCCCTGCTGCTTGCTTGTTATTTGATCCAAAACAAGTCCATGGATAATTGTCCCTGTGTCTATCCAAGTACACACGGTATAATTCTGGTATTTAATAGATGGTGATGTAAGCCAAAAAGAAGATTTACTTTTGCTTTTAGCATGTTTAATCCCACCACTTTTATTATGAGGATTTTGTAAATTCTTGTTATATTCGTAAAAAGTGCTTGAATTTTGTGGAGTTTTCAGTTGCTTTCTATGATAAAGCCTTGACACACAAGATATGAGGAAAAAGTTACTTTGCTTCAGTCCCCTTGAGAATTTGATGCCTTTCAGTTTTGCTGGCCATCTGCTTGTCCTGGTTTTGTAAGACTAACACAACCAGAGTTCTCAATCCATTTCATTCAGACCTGTCAGTATTTTTTATACTTCTGTTACGTCCCTCTATTTGTCTTTTTTCTAAGTGAATCCTTTCACTTCATGGTTTCCCTTGTACTTTTTGATTATAGTTACTTATCTCACCTGAACCCTTGCTGCCTGAATTTTCCTCCCTCTAGCTGTGGATGACCACGTTCCCGATAGTCGTTTTGTAACGACTCTGAAAAAGTACCATTTTTTAAATTTGTGCAAGTCGTGTCTGTATCATTACTTTTTAAGGACAAAATCTAGGTGAAAAGGTATTGAATGCAGCTGTTCGAATATAGTCTGTCGCTTGCTATTAATTGGGGAATGTAGTGGTGTAGCACAGCCATTTGGCCTATATTATTCACTGAGTGAAAAAATGTGGTATCTGCTGTTCTTGTGGCACACATGACCTGCATTTTCTGGGCCAGAAACAGTCTCTTCATCTAGAGGCTGAGGTGATTTACCAAGCAGTGTCTTTAAGGAATCTTGATTCTCATTAGAAACATTACAGATTCCATTTGTTTTCATTGCCCTCACACCTACATAACGATAGAGAGTATTTGTAAAGGAGGAGGAGGAGGGCAAAGCAACAAGAGAGAGGTAGATCATGTATCAAGCCATACATATAAAAACCAATTGAAGTTATTTGAATCTGGCCATCAAAATTTTGACTCCAACTAAGGAGACGAATCAAGGGGAAATCTTGTATGCATGTTTCTGCTGTTTTAATTTGCTACATAGAAGTCAGTTACTAGTTTCTGAGCTCTCAGGGTGAATTCTTGGTTGTTAGTTCCAAGACATTTTTCTTGGGTTTTGTTTTTTTCTAATGCTCTTCATTGGCACAATTCAAGCCTCTTCCACAGAGCAGACACAACTTGTGGTAGCATAACTGTCTTATCACAGCTGCTTTTACTTATCAGGTGATAGTTCTGTCTTGAGGACCAAGAGGTATCCATTGATGCCTCTACTAAGAACTGTGGAGGTCGGCTTTTTGATTATAGTCTGGTGTGTTGGCCAAGGACTGACAATGTTTTCAAGTAAGGCACAGTGTAAAGCAAACCATTACATATTGCATTGAAATAGTGAGATACAGGGAACAGCTCTCACGAGTGTCACGCTGTCAAGAAAGCAGGGAAGAGAAAATTATGTTCTCTTGTAATGTGCTCTTATCATAAAGGTAGTACTAGTGCAGAGTACTGGATACAGTTCACTGCTGTGCTACTTTGCCAGTGCAGTAATTGTGTTGGAATGGTTGGAGCCTTATTTTAGTTCAGTCAAAGCTTAGAGGATGCAAGATTATGCCTTTCAGATGAAAAACTGTTGATTTATTCATGTTTAAAAAAACATAGACAAATTTAGGTAGGTTGTATTGGAGGCTTGTCTTTCTATTGCATTTCTGTGTGTTGTGCTTTTTTTTTTTTTTTTAAATCTAAAACTGTTATGAAGGTAAGCGTTTTTTTAATCTTTCCTTTCAATAGAAGCTCCCAATGCCTCCAACTTAAAAATCGTAAGAATGGACAGAACAGCAGGGTGTGTAACAGGAGGGGAAGAGATTTACCTTCTCTGTGACAAGGTTCAGAAAGGTAAGAGTCCCGAGTATCGCAGGGCACGCCAGGGTGTTCATCTGGAGCACCCGTGAAACCTCCTGTGCTGCCGTAGTATTCTCCTGCTCTGATAGCACAGCAGGATGGGTAAGCACTCAGCCTTTCTGAAGTCAGGCCAGAAGAGGGATAAATCAAAATAGTCTATTGCAGAGCAAATTCAGCTTGTGTTGCCTCCACAGAGACCATGTGATCATCTTTGTTCTTTGCAAATTTCTGCCCTTACCCATGTTTGGGGTTTTTTTGTGGGTGGTGGGTCCTGGGTGATGTTTGACTCCATTAACTGTTACCTGTTCTGAATTATTCTGAAGCTTCTGATGAATTGTTAAGTTCCTGATTATAAAGAGTAAGTATGAGCGTTCTCTGTTGACCACCGATGAGAGCTGAACGTGTTCAGCGCTGCTGCTAGTAACTTCGTTTTTATATATATGCTAATGGTAGAGAGTATTCAGTGTAAACAGATCCTGGTCACAGATTCCTTTTGGTAATCTCTGCTCATGGCTATGAATGTGTCAGGATTGGGCAGTGTGGATTTGGATACTTTAGTTTTGGATAGCAAGATAATAGTTAATGTGGTTGGTTGTAGTATTTGAGCTGAACTAAAAAGAAAAAAAAATGTGTGAAAGGGAAATCCTTTGCATTTTTCAGCTATAAATAACGCCGGGATCTCCTGTGGTGGAGCAGGTGCTCTGTTCTCACCTGTTTGGAATCAGTCCCTGCACATGTTGTTAAAATCACACTGACGTTTTCTGTTAACACAGGCTGTCCTTTTCCACTGCTCTTTCTTGCAAATGTTCTTCTACCATTTAGAAGAGAGAGCTTTGGGGGCTCTTAGGGGCTTTGAAAAAACTGTTTTCCTTCAGCAGTACATATACCCTCTGCTATCTGAAGGACTGAGATGGAACATAACTCTTATGCACAAAATAAATAAAAACTCTTAGGCACAAAATAAATAAATGTCTGACTCAGTGGAAGCCCTGAGGTGGGGTTTCCCCCGAGCCGGATAGGGGTTTCCCCTGACCTCATTGCTCTCAGAAACCTCCTGCCTGAAGGAACTTGAGCATGCAGGACAGCAGGACTGGAAGTGATGGCTCACAGTCTTAAGACTGGCAGGTGGTGGGTCAGAGGAAGCAGTCTGTCTGCTCGAAAAGCCGGTCCTGTGTCAGTCACCCTAAGACAGAATAGGCTTTTTCTAGTTTTCTTTCTCACCGGGTGTGCTGGGAAAGGAATATGCTAGTGTGGTATTTCCCAGCTTCTCCTAAAAATAAATAAATACAAAGAGAACGGAGCAGAAGCCAAATCTCATGTTTCTGTGCTGTGTTTGGGGGCTGAGGGATCACTGCTGGCGTGCCGCTTGCTCACACCCTTGCCGTCTCTCTGAGCTGCAGCTCCAAAGTGGCACCCTGCCAGCAGCAAGTGGAACTTGAACTGTGGCACTTCAGGTTTTGCTACAGTTTTTTGAACTGAAACTGTTCGAGGAGAAAGGGTGGTTTCTACATTTCACGCTTCAAGTTCTCCCCTCCCTACGTGTTTGTTCCAAATACTCCTCTGGAATGTTTTATAACCCTAGAATAGGAAGCGGTAGTGAACCCAGTTCTCCTTTTACAGCCCAGTAAATAGAGAGCAACTTCAGCGAAGTCATTAGAATTACGCTGATCTAAAATTAATGTAAAAATGGGTTATTTATATTGCTTTAATAAAATTGATAAATAGAATTCATGTATTATTCATGTAATATTATCATCCAGCCAAAAAAAAAAAAGTGTTGATTTTTATCTGGAATGAACTTAGCCAAAGGTTAAACAAATTCACAAACATCCCAGAGAGTGTTTCTTTTGCTCTTTGCAGATGATATTCAAATACGTTTCTATGAAGAGGATGAGAATGGAGGTATGTGGGAAGGCTTTGGAGACTTTTCTCCTACAGATGTACATAGACAAGTAAGTAAACAGAGTATTTGTCATTTATTTTCTCATCTTAAACAAGGATTACATTGCAATTAGTAAATTAGGTGAAAGCATCTGTATCCCATACTAACCTCTTCTTTTCTTGGTTACTTCCTAATAATGATAGAATCTTAGCTGTTCTTTAAAGATGTACATTGGCAGGTTAGGAATTCAGTGCAAGGAAATTGGGAGATAGATCCCTTGGCTTTAATATGCACCAGTGTAAATTGGGATAGGATATGTAAAAAGGTCTCAGAGCTCCTGTGATGACACTGAGAAAGCCACAGAATAGAAATGATGAGGGGACAAACAATGCAGTGCTAACATATGTGATGTGGTGATAATTTGCATGGCAGTTCTGTCTTTCCCAAAAGGCTTTAGGACTTCAAATCAAAAGTGCAACCGAAAACTAAAATGGAAGTTTATTGTTGTAGCAGCCTTTTGCTGAGAATTTTTGCCCCCCAGTCTGTGAACGAACTACAAAATAACACAAATGGAAAAGCAAAGTTGTCAAAACCCATGTTCTATGATAATGTGCTTATCATTGTTTCCTTCACAGTTTGCTATTGTGTTCAAAACACCCAAGTATCGAGATGTCAATATCACAAAGCCAGCATCTGTATTTGTACAACTGCGTCGGAAGTCTGATCTAGAAACAAGTGAACCAAAGCCTTTTCTCTACTATCCGGAAATCAAAGGTAATTCATTAAACCTGTTTTCCCTAGGCATGTTTTTAATAAGACAAGATGTGTTGGATGAGGGATCTTTTCTTTGTAGTTGTTATGTTTAGAAAATAGGATATTTGCCTCCTTGTTTTGTGCAGAGCTAATATGAAAAATGTAGCTCTGTAATGGGTTTGTAGGTTTTTTGTTGGACTGGTAGGCAGTAAATCCATGAGTATTTTCCTAGTGAGGCTTCCTCCCTGCAGGTTTCCTATATGCACACGTGCCTGTCCATGCAGTAGATGGCACTCTCTTCCTCTGGGTTTCTGAAAAATATCTGAGGACTTTTTACTGTCAGTACTTTCAGGTGAAACCTTAAACCAAAGACTGGTTGGTATCTGGTGGAAAAAGCACACATTTTGCAGTTCTCTCCTTTTACCATTATGCCTCACAACTTCACTGATGTTTTTGAATTTTCCAGTTGCCTGTACTAGTTAAATCACACTTCTTGTGAAAGCAGGGAAAGTGCTGTTTCAGTCTCTTGTGTTAAAATGTTAGTCACTTAGCAGTAGTAGAATAGCATCAGACCTGCTTCCTAAGTTGTTAGTGAAAAGAAGTTTCACTGGCAGATGTATGCCCTTTAAAGACTACGTCTGAAGGGCTTGATGTGAATGGCAGCAGCAGTCGTGGTTTTAAATATCACCAACGTTAATGATATGGACACGCCTTGGGACCCAAGTCAGAATTGGTATTTCATTGTGCTAAGACAATAATTTTTCTGCTTAACGGTTTACCTGCCTGCAGGTTACACTAGCAAAGCCTAATCAATACCCTGTCAAACTTCAGAAAATCTGTGTGCATCAGTGGTAATGGACAAAGGACAGCTGAGGAAAGAGGGGTGGTGGTTGATGTCCAAGTGAATCCACTTGACCCCTATTATAACAAAATAGCAGAGAGCATGCGTTCACAAGAACTTTGAGAGTTGCTAGAGGACTTTTTATCAGTAATGATTTCAGGAATCTCTTGCCCAAGTTTTATGGAAAGAGAAGTGTGCGACTGCAGAGCAAAGTTGCCAGATTTGAAGCAAACCTCTTTTATTTGCCTCTTAATGGAGCAAAATTAATTCAGTACTGTTATATGCATTTTGCAACCCCTATTACCATTTAGGGACAGATTTTTTCCCTCGTCGCAAGTGTTCACACAAACTTAGACACACATGTGGATTTTTTTTGTTTTTTTTTTTTTCTCTGACTAGATTGCTTTCTAGAGTTTTCTCTCCTCGTCAGTGTGAGTATGCTTGGTGCATGCATGCATACATACTTACAGATCATGTATGCCTGGAAACAATGCACTTGTATTTTTTGGTATACTGTTTCGTGTATTCAGCAACCTCATTTGATGCGCTGACTGATATGCCTGTGCATGAAATTTCTTTTTGTCACATGGCTGTTGAAAGCTACTAGATTGTTTAATGAAGGAAGAATATTTTATTCTTTCCTCAACAGTTCTACTGGATTTTAACCCCTGTAATGTCTGTATCTCTATTTTTGTAGCTCTTGTCATAACATTTTCACTTTCCCTCGTCATTGGGGTACTTATTTTATGTCTTTGTGTTTTGCTTTCCAGGGAAAGGTGCTTTAGTACTACACTATAAAATATTTAGGCTTTTTTTTTTTTCTACTGCTGCTCAGCATGGTTTGAGAGTATTATGTCCAACCTAAGAATAAGCTATCTTTGTTCTGGTGGCTTTTCTGATAATTTCAGTAAATCATTTCAAGCAAATGTTGTTTTCAGCATTTCTTGCCATCCTTACCCTTAAACAAAAAAGTTCAAAGGGCACTGCAGGCACTCTGCACTGTTGGAAATCAAAGTACTTTGTGATTTGCTGACCCTTTGATAAGGATCCATTTCTGAGGTAGATTTCCTTAGTAGAAGAGTCTGGTGCTTACATTTCCCAAAGGCAAATTTTCTTGAACAAGTTTGTGGTTTGGGGCACTTTGTGCTGGTTTATGACTTGGCTTAGACGTAGAAGAATTTTAGGACCACTGATTTCCAGGGCTCTAAGTACATGAGACGCTTCTGAAGGAAACTGAGCCTCCTAAGACAACTCTGCTCTGAGCAAAAAGGCACCCGACATAACTGAAGAGACTGTGCAGCCTGAGCGCTGCTGATAGTCTGGCTGGGGAGCTGGCACTAGCTTGTTTCTCCCAGGAATTCTCACTGCCACGTTACACAGTTGTTGGAGCCGGAAGAGAGTTGCTCTTCTACAGCACTCTGCATTTTCCTTTATAAACTAGTAAACTTTAGTAATGATTTTTCTGTATGTGCATCCTGTTCTGTGCATGGCCACCAACAAGTGACTTTGTTCCCATCTATTCCTTCTAACCCAGATAAAGAAGAAGTGCAAAGGAAACGACAGAAGCTCATGCCAAACTTCTCTGATGCCTATGGTGGAGGCAGTGGCACAGGAGGCGGTGGCATGTATGGAGGGGGAGGTGGCGGTGCTGGCTCTGGTAAGGCAGCAGTTTGGGGTGAAGAGGGGAAGGGGTTCTACTTGGAGAGCAGGATAGATGTTTATTCTGATCTTTAAAATGTGATGAGGATTTCCTCTTCATCTAGGTAGATAAGACAACCGGACCCTTCTGTCTTTGTAGGAGGGTTACTCATTTCAGTCAAGCATCTCCTTGTTTTCTGACTATTTCATAATCAGCTGCTTTGCCTTCCTACTTGGATGTAAGGCTCCTGGTGACTTTTTTTTTTTTTTCTCGAAGCTTTAAGTCACAGATAACACCTTTCCAGTTGAGGGAGTCTGAATCAGGAATCCATCATACCTTAGCTTTGGTGTTTCCTAGGGCCTTGAAAGCAGTGAGATGGCTCAGCTAAGTACCATCTTGGGTGCTTAAAATTAAACAGATTCTTAATTATTTCTGGGACTAGGAGTGGAATGTGTCAAATTAACCCTGTTAGTGCAAAGAACTACTAAAAAATTTGAGATACTACGTAGTAAACTTCCTGCTGTGCTCTATCTGTTGAAGCCAGACCATATATGAGATGCAGGACCAGAAGAACATTGCTTTGATTCTTGCAGCGGAGAATTAAAAACCTGTAGATCAGCAGATGTCATCTGAACTACAGGATCATTGTAACCTTTTTTTTTTTTTTTAGAGCAGGGGACAGAGCAGCAGTGTTCAGATTCTTACATGCTTTGCTAACAGCACACCTATAGCATAACACCACAATACAAATATGTTGTGATCACAAAGATTCAAAAGCATGGAGGTAGCTTCTGAAGCCTTAGTTGAGTCTTAGATGAAGCATACTAGTGATAATACATTTGTGTGGTCTTACGGATGGTGAGATAGAGGGTGTCACTAACCAACCATCTAGAATCTGCCCTGGTGAGACCGCATCTGGAATATTGTGTCCAGTTCTGGGCCCCTCAGTTCAAGAGGGACAGGGAACTGCTGGAGAGAGTCCAGCGCAGAGCCACAAAGATGATGAAGGGAATGGAGCATCTCCCTTATGAGGAAAGGCTGAGGGAGCTGGGTCTCTTTAGCCTGGAAAAGAGGAGACTGAGGGGTGACCTAATTAATGTTTATAAATACGTGAAGGGTGAGTGCAGGAGGATGGAGCCAGGCTCTTCTCTGTGACATCTAGTGATAGGACAAGGGGCAATGGGTTCAAGCTGGAACATAGGAGGTTCCGCTTGAGTATGAGGAAAAACTTCTTTACAGTGAGGGTGACAGAGCACTGGAACAGGCTGCCCAGAAAGGGTGTGGAGTCTCCTTCTCTGGAGACATTCAAAGCCCGCCTGGACGCGTTCTTGTGTGATCTGATCTAGGTGTCCTGCTCCGGCAGGGGGATTGGACTAGATGATCTTTCGAGGTCCCTTCCAATCTCTAACATTCTGTGATTCTGTGTGATTCTGTAATTTCTTTGGATTTTTGAAGGGGTGGGAGAGAGTTCACCTTCAGTCTGGAAAATTTATTTTAATTGGATGGAACAAAGCAGAAGGTATATAGGAAACAAAATTTCAGTTCTTTAGGTTCAGTATTCTTCCAGATGGTGTTTTCATTGCTTTAAGGTGTGATTCTATTTATTCTTAATCTTTTTTTCCTTTCTTTAGGGTTCAGTTACCCTTCATACGGATACTCTGCTTTTGGAGGGATGCATTTCCACCCTGGCACAACAAAGTCCAATGCCGGAATGAAACATGGTAACAGTGAAGATGATGTTCTTGCAACAGTTGAATTGAGTTTGACCATCCTTACTTTCTTCTACAGTAGGAGCTGAAGTGTCATGCAGGTCTAGCGAAGCCTGCTAGGGAAGGCCATTTATTTTCCCTAAAATCAGTCTCTTTTCTGGGACCTCTGGTAGCAGAGGAGTTTGTGTAGATTGTACTGCCCTGCTTCTCTTTAATTCTCTCCAAGTCTACCTTAAAAGCTGTGTGCATGTTCCTTTTTACTGCTGACTCCTCAGAAGCAGCCACCAAAACCCCTCCATGTGGTTCTGTGTTCAGTGTGTGTTTCGAGCAATAGTCCTTTAGCTTGCTTGAACGTGCTGGGATTACAGGTGACCCAAGGACTAGATCAGAGAAAAGGTATCTTCCTTTATTGCCACAGTCTGGTACTACACAGTAGCCCAGAGAAATAAAATAAAAATCAATGGAAAAGATTGAGTTAATAATAAGGGCATTCTTGGCTTCCAAAAACAGGGAAGTCATTTCAAATCTATATGTTGAATCCTATGTAGTTATTTCCAAAGTCTCAGGGATGAATTTGCTGTCAGAAAAATATCCTGGGAATACTTCAGACTTGCCTTCTTGTACCATAAAAAGAGCAGTGTATCTGTTGTAATATGTATAAAAATTTATCTTTAAAGCAGAGGCCGTCAAAGACGTAACATCACTTTAGAGCAAGTTACAGTGCTATGTCTGTCCATGTGCATTGGTATCTGGAACATTATGGTTCATGAGTGTTTAATGATAACACCTATGTCAAAGTAAATTGTTGTATTGTGTTCTTTAGGGTTTGGTTTTGTCTAGTTGAGCTTTATCACTTGCGTAAAAAAAGCCACAGTATTGGACACTAACGATACTAGTGTTTGTTTGAAGGACTATCAAATAGCACAGCTGAACAAGATGGGAAGAGCTCTGATAAACAAAGTGACATATGGGACATGAAACATGATGTGAAAGTGGAAACTATGGAGAGGAATGAGTGCAGAACCTCTGGTGATAATGAGGAGAAGGAGGATGCTGCTTCTTCCTGGAAAACTGAAGTGAATGAAGCAGAGTGCAGGTGGCAGGGTAAGTGAACAAGTCAATGTCTTAAGGGTAGATCAAACTGCAGTATGGGCAAAGCTACTGTTAAAGGCCTGGAAACACCATAAAGGTCTGCTTGCTGTTTTCAAAATATGACAATACCTCCTGGAGGAAACAGGAGGGATTCCATTCCCCCAAATCTAAGGTCCCTCCTCATTCATAGTCCTGCAGATAATCTTCCACCTTTGTGCTGAGACTGGGTAGCTGAGCTTCTGCTTGTCATGCAAGGAGAAGAGATAGCTTAGCCTGCTGGGCACATTTAACACTGTTTTATAATAAACCTGTATGAGGAACGCTGAAAGCAGTGAAGGTACATGGAATACAATTCAGCAGTTGGCATGGCTTTTGATATTTGATAGGCTTCAATGGACGAGTGAGTGGATGTTGGCTGATTGGTGCAGTAGTTCTTCCCTGCAACTCTGCTGTTAAACTGTATGCAAAGTAGCTTTAAAGGTTTGAATTTAAAATGTAAATGTATCTGTTCCCACCTGACAAATACACAGTAAAATAACACTGTCAGGTAGCAAAGTCTTGCACATCAAACTGGTGAACAAAAGGGGAGGAAGGCAAGAGTAATCAGCAGAAATGGTTCAGCAGCAGAGTTGTAAAATATGTGAAGACTACAAATCAGCCTTTCTCAGACAGTCAGACTTCCTTTTCCTGGATTGTTTTTAAAAAGAGTTGATGGCCACTTTTGTAAAGGATTTGAGTAATCGTGTTTCTCATAAAATTAAAAAACGTAAAATTTAAAAAACAACAGTTGAACTAGAGCGATGTGGTAATGTTCTTGGCTTTTACTGAGTGCAATACGATCTAGACCACTTTTGTTGTTCCCTCTTTGGTCAGGGAGAGGGCATGTTACCTTGTGTATCAGCCGTGTGTGAGCCTTGCTATTAACAGTACTAGAAATTGTACCTTGGGAAACCAAAGGCGCATGGTAGATGCATTGTAGTTGTGAAAACCTCCAAGGTGTAGCTTTTTGTGATCTTAGATGTGAAGAAATAATAATGTCCACTTAGCAGTTGCCGAGGAGGGTCCTGAATTGTTGACTTGGCTTCCAAGTAATGAACATTGTAGGCAGGGAGTTTATTTTGTTTATCTTGTGTAATGGTGTGAAAAGAGGCAATTTCAAGCTCCACATTATATGAAGAATAGATGTAGAAGAACAGGCTCTGTAGAAGAACAGATTAGAACATTTGGGTATTAGACTAAAAGATGCTATGGTGAAGTACTTTGAAGGATATCTTTTCTGTGTGCTTGATATGGGAAACCAGGGAGGTTCAGCATCCAGTTTTTTGGAGTTGTGAAATGGCTATAATGAGAAAAGGCTGAAACTCTTAACACAGTTTTACCCTGGATATGTATCCTGAATATAACATCCATTTAATGCTGTTATTGAGTGTTGAGAGGTGCATAACAAATACAAACGTATCAGCCTGAGCATATAGTATAGGAACCACAGTGATGAGCTTCATGGATAGCTGAGTAAGTCTTTGGCTTACAGAAATGATGTATTCATGTTCATCAGGGATATGCTTCTGATGCAGTCTAGATGCCTGATTTTGTGTAGCTAGAAATAGACTAATAGAATCACAGAATGGTTTGGGTTG